ATATAGTTTTTTTTTTTAATTTTTCCTTTCTTTCCATTTTCTTTCCAGAATTACAGCTAATAAGGAAACAGCACAGAAGGGGCCCAAACATTAGCATCCATTAGAATTCAGTTCAACAGGAATTATAGCCTTGAGAAGGTGACTTACCCTCTGGGCCTCGGTTTCCTTCCCTGTAGAAGGTGGACAATGTTTACCCTGCAGGCCTGCTGCATTGCCAGAACAAGGCTTTAAATCTTTGCGCATGATTTTAAGGGCAAAAGCGCTAACGGGAGCTGCTCTCGAGAGTCCAGTTCCCATCAAACTTAAAGACAAACTCCCTTAGAGATACCGTTACCTTCTGTGTGATTCATGACCAACTCAGGAAGAATTCATGATGCCACAGAGTCTTAGAAGAAAATCAGTAACTGCCAGTGGGGATGACAAACACTCCCTCCTTGACCAAACTTTCCTCAGCTCCTCTGAGCCCTCTTCCCAACTAGGCCTCCACCTTCATCTTCCATGGCTTTCCTTGCAGAGTCCAGTTTTAGCAAGAATCCTGCTAAACCAGTTTAGAGAGAATTCTCCCACCCTTGACAGCTAGGTGATCGCTGATCACCTGGCCTGCCTTCAGCACGAGTCCTGTAAGCGGTTTAGCTAGAACCCCCTACCCTCGATGGCTCCTCTCCATCATTTTCCGTCCACTGACCACCCCCAATCTGCTCCTTGGTTATAAATCCCCACTTGTTCTTGTTGTATTTGGAGTTGAGCTCGACCTTTCTCCCCTCCTGCCATAGTCTGGACACTTATCGCAATAAAAGCCTTCCTTACCATTTTAACAAGTGTCAGAATAATTTTTTCCTTAACACAGATCAAAGGTTAAATATTGAGTTTTTTAAGAGGCTAACACTTATAAAATGCTTAATATGTGCCAGGACACTGTTCTGAAGGCTAAATCTATTCCTCACAACATCCCAGTGAGGCAGTACTATTATTATTATCCTCAATTTATAGATTAAACTGAGGCCTGAGAGGTTGTTATTTGCGCAAGCACACAGAGCTAGAGCTAGGTAGTGGAACTATTCTAATCCAGGGATTCTGGCTCCAGGGTCCATGCTCTTAAATGCAATGCCAGACTGCCCTCAGAGGACTAAAATTTCAGTTGGGAAGACTACTACGTCAGTGCTCTTAGAGCAAAGCTGTCAAACGCAGCTGCCCACAGGAGCCCAGGTCCTGGAAAGGTAATGTAAACCAGTGAAGCAGGGCGGGTGGGGAATGGGCCGCCTGGAGAGACCATGCCCTCACGGGGACCAGTCCTTATCAGCGCCATCTAGTGTCGTTATCTGGAAATGCATAGCTTCCAAGTATTTAAAGAGAGAAGTGAGAGCAAAATCTGGATTTTTATGAAAGATCTCTTCAATTCAAAAGACAAAAAAAGAAAAGAAAGGGAAAGAGGGAGGAGGAAAGAGAGAAAGGGGAAAGGGAAAAAGAGGGAAGGGAAGGGAAAACCACGCAGGACAGGCACATATATACACACACCGGCAGGAGGGATTCATTCAGTCTGTGGGCCACCTGTTTGCAACCTCATTTTTAGAGGTTAAATCTTATCATAATGGACTCTCGTTGATTTTAAAGACATATACTCCTCACTCTAAACCACCAAGTAATTACGCTTTTAAAATCTCCTATGTGTCTAACGTATTGGAGACTAAAGATTTCTGCTGTTTGGTTGGTGAGGGGAGGGGAAAGTGCATGGGTTGGGGGGTTGTCTCAGGCTGTCTCTCCTGGGTGCACGGAGATGCGTGACAGTTATGTGAGTCGTGTTGATTTCCTCTCTGCCCATAAATCAAGAGATTTCTAATTACAGGTGTTAGCCAAGCAATCTGGGCTTTTCTTCTTGATTCTTGAATTGATGGATAATTTACCCTCCATTAACAAAGCAAACAAAAGAAAACACCCTTTCAAAGTTAAACTAGTACAATCAGCTATCTGTGGGAAATGGAAGTAAATGCAATGCTTCTGAGAGCTTTATGAAGTCCCTCATCTTTTTCTAAGTCTCTCAACTTTCAGTTGCTGAACTTTGAGCCGTTCGTATTGTACAGTCCTCTTGGCAAACCAGGTTTCTTGGCTGCAGGTGTATGACACAGGAGACAGTCTGTACTCCTGGCTTTAGGACACCTTCCAGCTTTTTGTAGCAGGTGTCCAATGTACTTATTTTTCATTGTCTAAACCTGGATTACAGATATATGAAGTTTAATAAATGAGAATAACCATGTTCTTACTTCCAAAAACAGCACTCTTTTTGTGTTTTCATTAATATTTCATGCTATAGGTTAAAATTTCCTATTATTTTGAAGTTTGGCAGGGCATTAATAATGACCATTTTGGAGGGAAATGGGATCAATTAACACCTTTTCATGCATAAGACTCTGCAGTGTGTCCTGTGGAGTGAGCAGGAAGGAATCAATAAGCTTGTCCCCTTCTCTCCTGGGGCTTGAAGTACTTTCGGAGAAATGAGGCATTTATACAAGTAACAACGGTACAAAAACAGTGCATAAAAAGCACAATACAAGGGACACAGATGACCATTGCTGTAGGATTTTAAAAAGAGAGAGAGACTTATGACTGGAAGGCTTTAGAGGCCTTCAGAACAGAAAGGGGATTTAAGTGGGGCCTTGAAGAATGGTTAGGCTTTTTTAGGATGAGAGGGGCAGAGAGTGGGAGGAAGGTGTAATAAAACGGATGTGAGAGAGGGAGAAGGAAAGACAGAGCTTGGGGCACAGCAAGTGAGTGCAACAGAAAACTCCAGAAAGGAAGAAATGGATGTAAACCTGGGGAAGTAGTTTGAATGAGCAGAAAGCGATTGAGATTAAGGATGGGAAAATATTCAACCATTAACATGAATAATGAAATTAGAAGGAAGAGCTATCCAATAAGTTGGATTTATTGTTAGACTTCATATGATAGTAGATCAGCCAAATAACATTGAACCAAAAGATAAAAATGATATATTTTCAAAATCTGGACCTGAACAGATTTGCCGTTGCCTTATTTTGACCCTTTATAGCCTGAGTTAAGATTGTGCTGTTTGATTTATTATCCATCACATGCAAAGAAGTAGGATCCTTGAATTTTGGAGCTGGAAGGGTCCTTAGAAATCATATAACTCATTTTGCCAACGAGTTAATTTGGGGTCCAGAAAGATTCAGTGCTTAGCATGAGGTCACAGAGCCTGTGAGTGATAGAGGTAACATTAAAACAGTCATCCACTGATTTCTGAACCACTGCTCCATCTACATCACCTAGTGCTTGGTTATTCTTCCAAAAAAATGTTTATATGTAAACACATACAGATAAATTTTCAGATGTACTTTGTAAAATTCAGTATCTTCCCACCTTTGGGTACCTCCATCTCTCTTTCCCTGTCCCCAACTCATCACACTTCCTCCATTTAACACCTAATATGTCTCCTTCTAAATATTTTTAGACTTTAGATAGTCATATACAAACGTATCTGCACCCACACACAAGACATACCTATGGAGTGTTTTAGATTATTGTTTTACAAAAACGAAAACATATATAGCCCTTTCTCTACCTTGCTTTTCTCATTCGACCATACCTTGGGGAAATACCTCCCAAGTGAAAAATTATAGCCTCATTAATTGTTTCTTTTAATGGTTGCATAATGCTCTCCAGTAGAGCTATGTCATGATTTAGTGTACCAGTCCCCCATTTATGGAGATCAGTTTGTTTCCAGTGTTTTGCCTTTACAAATAGTACTTCAGTGAACATACTTGTACCTGTATCTATATATGCTGGTATTTTATTTCCATTAATAACGTTGGCATTGATAGGTCAAGGACATACATATTTTTAGTTTTAAAACTGAACTGCTTCCCTAAGAAAGCTGTAACCATACACATTTGCACTTACAATTAATAAAAATACTTCCTTTTGCTGGGTCTCCCTAGGCCACAGTGTTATAATTCTTTTTTTCTTTTTTAATTTTAGCAAGTGCGATTGGTGTAAGGCAAAATCTCATTGTTACATTATTTCCATTTCTTTGACTATAGATGCATTTGATCATCTTTTCATAAGTTTGTTGGCTGTTGTGCTTCCTATCTTGCAGGCTGCGTTTTCATATTCTTTATCCATTTTCCCGATGTACTATTTTGTCTCCTTATAAATTGTTAAGAGCTTCTGCTATATTATAGACATTTCTGCCTGGCCTCTAGAATTCAAACATTTTTTTTTTTCAAATCTATTGTATTTCTTTATGGTATCTTTTGCCATGCAAAAGTTTTGAATTTTATTTAGTCACCTACGTTTATACTTTTTATTATAGTTTCTGTATTTTCTGCCTTGCCAAAAGAAGCCTACCCTCTCTGTCCCTAGATTATATTTATGGTTCCTAGATTTTCTTACAGGATATTTATTTATTTATTTAACATTTTAACCTTTAATCCATCTAGGATTTATTTTTGGAGCTGGTGTAAGATAAAGATCTAGTTTTCTTTTCTTCCAGATGAATAAACAGTTTGCCAGCCCTTTATATTAAATAATCTATCCTTTTGCCACTAAATTGAAGTGCCTCTCTTGTCATATATTAAATCCTCATTTATATGTGGATCTATTTCTAGATATTCTACTTCCTATATCTGTTTAGGCCTATTTCAGTACTTATTGATTTGATTACAGTAGCTTTACAAGATTTTCTGATATCTGGTGAATCAGATTACACAAACAACTTTTGAGGTAATCAAATGCTTCGGTAAATACTTTAAAAACCTATTTGCTAAACAGCAGTGGGATGCAAGCAGAAACTAATGTATCAAAATAATACTTGCGTAATTAAAATATTTTTCCCAAAATCTTTCTTCCCAAGGTCTATTTTTATATCAACAGATATGGGAAGAAAAGGTTAACGTGCTTATTGAGCTCTTATACAAACGACAGTTTGGTGTAGTTTCAATCCTTACATGCGGTACCGTATTAATGGTAGTGTCTCTTGATTCGCAGATTGGTCCTTCAGAGGATTCGTCTCTGACCGCCTCTTCACTCCAAGCTACGACTGCTTCCCAGTGGGAGCACTGCTCAGGGAAGAGCTCTGACGTTTTCCTGAAGAGAAATTCCATGGGGACTGTACCTGACTCTCTGAGATCGGCTAAAACTTCCCTGATCGCAGCTTCTGGAAAAGAAGACGATTTAGGAGAGGTGCAGGCTGCCTCATCTCCGCCTTTACCGGCCCTCCCGTGTAAGAACACTAATGGCCTTCCCAGCGCTCCCGCAGAACCAGACCTCAGCCCCAGGGCAGCCGCTGAGGCCCTGATGCAGGCCTGTGAGCATGAGACCACCCAGCCAGACATGTCTTCTCCTGGCGTCTTCAACGAGGTGGAGAAAGCGTCTCCCACACTCAACAATCCTGGCAATACCCAGCTGCCAGGAAGCAGTGAGCCCACAGCACCAGGCTTGTGTTCTGCAGCAGGAAAGGATCTTATAAATGCAGGATTTACGATGCCAGCCAATCAACGTACCCACCAGGCCATCCCAGGTGACCAGCCCAACGCCAGCCCCTCATCAGGACCTGAAGATACCCTGGGGGAATCACAAAGAACCTCAGATGGGGAGCAACCTGAGAAGCCAAGTTGTCCTGTGGGGGGCACCCGTAGCAGCAGCAAAGATCAAGTGCCCTGTGATTTTCCTTCTCAAGAAACAATCCAGGGATCGGTGCAAACTGCAAATACAGCAGCCAAGGTGTCCAGTCATGCATCGTCGTCTGACGGGGAGAGGCAGCGAGCTGTTTGTGACTCCCAGACCAGGTCCTGTGAACCTCCAGCAAGAGAAGATGGATGTTCAGGGAACAAACAGCCCTCGGCCACCACCTCAGACACCCAGGCTGTGACTTCTGTAACACCTCCACCATCCCACCTTACTAGCAAAGGGTCGACGTTTCCCCCAGATCCGGAGAAGGTGCTGCTGCCAGGACAGCATCAGGTGTCAAAGTTCAAAGAAGCAGGTACGATGACCAACCAAGCTGAAAGTGAGATCAAGGAAGTTCCCAACCCGGCTCGGCAGGATGCTGAGGTGCAGGCGGTGGTGAGTGTGGAGAGCAGATCTGTCTCCACTAGCCCCAGCATCCTCACTGCATTCTTAAAGCAAACGCCTGCTCCTGAGCATTGTGAACAAGAGCAGCTGCGTGTCATTTGCCATGGCGGCAGCGGCGGGAGCCACCCGTTGGAGCTGTCTGACAACACCCTCGCCCCCCAGGAGTCGAGTCGGTGCCCTGGCATCATGCCAGAGGTGCACATCCAGGCAGCTGCAGCTGTTTCCACAGCTTTCCGAGGGGAAAGTAAATCAGTGAGCCTACCAGCTGAGGTCCTTGAAACCTCATCAATCCGTGTGGCATCCAGTAATGCTCAGGATACGTGTAAAGATGAGAGGTCAGCAGGAATGACCCCAGCGAGGGAAGAGCACACCTCTAAACAGCCTTCAGGAACTAACTCTAGCTCCCTGAAAGCCAGCCCCACTGACCAGATTTCTCTCAGCGAAGACAGTCAAGCTGAAACAAGTCATGGATTGGGGAAATTTGAAACCAAGCCATCCGAGCTTGCAGCGAAAACCACAAATGGCCACCAAACAGACCCAGACTGCAAATTCTCCATCTCCGCTGGCCCTGCCAGCAAAGCTGACCAGACCCGGAGCTTAGATCCCAGTAATAAAGGAGACGCAAGAGAGAAGAAGCCTGCGTCTCCTCGGATAGTACAAGAACGAGAGTCTAGCGGCACGGTTGTCCTCGATGCCAGGGCAGGGGCAGAGGGCAAGACCCTACTGCTCAATCCTAAATCTCAAGAAACTGAAGGCACAGGATCGGCCGCCAGTCCCGCACCCTCCCCAGTTAGAAGGAACCAGGAGGGCGCCGAAGAAGAAAACAGGCAGGCCAAGACAGCCGCCAGCCTGAGCCTGCCGTCCGATTCCGTGGGCGACTCCAGTCCAGGCTCCGGCAAGAGGACCCCTTCCCGCGCCGTCAAAGCCAGCCCGCGCCGGCCCAGCCGCGTCAGCGAGTTCCTCAAGGAGCAGAAGCTCAACGTGAGCGCCGCGGCCGCGCAGGTGGGGCTCACCGCCGGCGAGAAGAAGAAGCAGCTGAGCGCCGACGCCAGGCTCCAGCTGAAGCAGTCCAAGCGCGTCAGGGACGTCGTGTGGGACGAGCAGGGCATGACCTGGGAAGTGTACGGCGCTTCCCTGGACCCGGAGTCCCTGGGGGTCGCGATCCAGAACCACTTACAAAGACAGATCAGAGAACACGAGAAACTCATCAAAGCTCAAAACAGCCAGACCCGGAGATCCATTTCTTCAGATGCTTCTTCAAATAAAAAGCTCAAAGGAAGGCAGCACAGCGTGCTCCAGTCCATGCTGCAGAACTTCCGACGCCCCAACTGCTGTGTTCGTCCTGCCCCTTCTTCTGTGTTAGATTGAAAGGAACATGTATGGAGCCCTCGTATGCATTTACCGTCTAGTGAGTGTCCGCCGGTGTCAAAGCCTAAGTAGTTTTTTCCTGAGAGACGGGGAAGAGAAAGCGAGTATTAACTATAGGAAATTGCTGTTGAGAATTGTGAGGTCCTTTGCCTGGGGCTCCATAAATAAAAATATCATTTCAATTAGAATAAGAGAAGAGAAGCAATCTTCACTGAAGCTTTACGACCTTAATTAAGAGGAAACAACATTCACTGGGTTTTTTAATATGATGTGGCTTATAGAACTATCATTATCATTATACATGGGTCATTTTGTATTACTGCCTCAATTTATCACACTGTGGTATCTCCATTAAAGTCCCTGCTTTATATTAAAAATAGCAAAAACACTGTTAGCAAAAACACTGTTATACTTCCTGGTCCTGTTGCAATAAGAATGCTGTTACCACATAAACTTTAAGTAGGTGATAGAACTGTGATGTAAAAAGTTGAAACAAATTTGACTCAGATGACATTGAATAAAAGCATTTAAATGCATAAAATAGCAAATAGGAATTAATATTTGTAAACATCTGCAGAGAACCCTGTTTATAAACATTGTTATACCTGTTAATAAATGTAAGAAAGTTATATTAGGAAAATTAGCTAAGCTTTTGAACATGAAGACTACCCACGTAAAACATGAATTTATTTCTATAGATTTTCCTGCACTGAAGGCAGGGTGCCTCTCTGTGATTATGACCAGATTAAGTTCATATTTCCTTACCCGAGAGGAAGGACATACGACTGAATTCTTGAAGAGAGTCATCAAATTATTGATAATGCTAAATTTTGTTGTACAGGTGTTCTCCAATAACATTCTACTGAGAATGTTAAGGTTCTGGTAAGGAATCATAAATAGTCAATTACCAAACACTCATTTTTCTGTGTTGAAAAAAGGAAAGCCCCCTGAGTAACAAAAACAATATGTTTAATTTAGACACTTGTAAAAAGGATGTAGTTTGGGATTTTCTTTTGATTTGGTTCAGTAGCTTCTAATAGAAAATGAAGGCAGCACCAAGTAGAACATGAGCTTTCTTACAGTTTTTGTATGTAGACTAGAATCAGCTGATTGCTTAAATTTCTAATCCGTGGTAAAAAGATAACTTCTGCAAACTTGTTGATTTTAAGAGAAATACCATCATATCTCATCCTTCGAACCCAATAAAAGAAGCGGCCTTTACTAGAACACTGTTTGAGCTTTGGGTGAGCTGTGGTCCTTGAGAACACAAGCAGCTGTTTGAGCTCAGCCCTCGCCTGTCTCCACAAGAGGAGCGTGTCCCTGGGACTCATGAGTGTCTTGCAGGGCATTGGCTGGGATGACCAGCAATGGCCTGAGGGTTAGGGAGTGTGGAAGAGGAGCATGAGCTGGGGCCCGGGAAGCCTTCTCCTCCTGGAGCCACTGTAGGGAGAGCGCTGGTCTCCACCTTGCTCTTAGAAAATCAGACTGTTAGACGTTAGAGGGGTGCTGGTTGCCTTCTCTGAACTCGTTCCCCTGGATGAGCCAGAACACAGTGTCTGGCAGTGTGTTCTCTCTCCAGAGACTCATAAATGCCATTTGTGTAGTAAACTCCCATCTCCGTTTTGGCTTTTTTTTTTTTTTTTTTTCTATTTTAATTCTCTTTTGCAGATTCTGAACATATGAGGGAAAATCATACCTCTACTTCAACACCACAAGCTACACTGGACACAACCTACATTAGTAAATAGCCATTGATATCTTTCACAGCAATTGGACTGATATGAAGCCTGCATACGTGTAGACCACAGTCACAGCGTTCTCAGAGCCTGACAATGTAATTACAGTTGTTATACTTGGAACTTATAATGAATTTTTTAATAAGGCATATTTTTCAGTATTTTACCAATTGGCTTCTATTAAGAATGCTATCTAAAGTAGAAATTATCATCTAATTAGCAATCAAATTACTATTAATGATTAGAGATTTAGTCTAAAACTCTCTCTTTTGGCCTTAAATACCCATTCGTAGCAGTGCTCTTGTTGCGTCAGTAGAAGACGCCTTAGCCAGCATGCAACCTGACTTCCATCTCTCGCTCACTGGTTGTCTCCCTCACCGGTTGGCATACGTGCTGTGCGTACACAGAGAACACCCTGTGTACACAGTAGCAGCTGTCAACAATACCCACTCCAGATGGGTGGGCCCCAGGTTATCCTCTGCTGTGAAGTGGCTGGAACAGGCTGTTTCTGCATTAAAATGGGAGAAAAGGAAGAATTCAGCATCTGGCAATAATATTTATTTTCATGAGTTTGGAGTAACCACATGATTTATAAATAGTTCAATGAAGCAGAGGCCTAAGAGAGTTGTAGGCGTTTGTCGAACATTAAATTAATTAATTTAATTTAATTTAAACTAAATTTGATGTTGTAGTTGTGCCTCTCAAATTGAAACTTAATGTTTGATGTACTAACTTGAACTGGTTTTCTTTGGTGCTGGAACTAACCTTTACTTCTTAATCTTTAATTTTTTGCTTTTAATCTTTAACTTCTACCACACTCTAAAGATTGTCACAAAATATTACAAAAGCTTTCATGTTACTATTGAATCTTATAGAAGGAACAGCTTTTAAAAACAGTAACAGAAATTGATCATCAAAATGGATGAGTAAGATAGGAGCCTATTCAAGACTGCAGTGTTTTGGCATTGTGGTATCCTAGGTATTCTCACAATAAAGCCTTTATCTGAAAATTTCCCTTCACTTCAATCTGTGACAGCGTAGACATTCAGTACATCACGTGTGACTCCTTAGGTTTGTTCAACAAATGAAGTTGCAAAACAATGTTCCCGGCGTGGCAGACTCTTTGAACTTGCTCTGCTGTTCCTTACCTGCATGACATGCAGTGGTTTGAAAGTGGTTTGTTTTTGTTTCTTAAACCAATAGTAAAAGAGAGATGAGTTAGAACACAGTGTATGAAAGATAATGAAACATTTGAAATGTTAAGATGTTATACAGCTTACTCAGTGAATACTAGAATTTTTGATTTAAATATTGATTTTGCTGTTTTTATGACCAGGAGAAAAAATGTCATCGCTTCAGTTGTCACATGTTTATTTTTAATGCTTTTCTAATTATGTCTTTCTGGATTGTTGGCTTTGATGCCACAGACCAACTACTGTACATACAGTAAAATCCTAATTAACCTTTGTGTTTTGGATCAGTGGCGTAAGCTGAACGTTTTGCTAGGTGAAAGTTAACCAGAAACCTTTTTGTTTGCATCCAAAATGAGATATTTATAAAATACATTCATATGTGTTCCTACCTTGACAAGTTCAGCTGTACTGAATATAATTTGATTTTTGATGATTTTTTAATCTTTAGAATTGTCTGATATTCATTATTTTGGATACCAGTGTTCTCCATGTTATAGGTTAAATATCAAAATTGAAATAAATTGCACTAAATATGCATGTGTAACATATTCCCTAGAGGCTGAATTTTGGAACCAAATCCTTAATAGGAGCTTGCCCTCTTAAAGTACAAAGCAGAAGAGGAAATGCTTTTGGTTGCATCCCAGGGTGTTGAGGTTTTACTGTTCCTAGCTTATTCTAATGTTATTCCTTTCATTACTGGGAGTTCCCATCATTCTGGAAATACCTGTAAATACCACATGAAAAATAGAATATGATGTGACTTAAAATTTGTTTACAGAGGATATATGCGAGTGTATGCTGTCAGTGTAAATTGTTTGGCCTTTGCTGTATCCATTCCGTTACTGTTTTGCTGCCAAAATGTAAGAAATTATCTTCTCTTCCTCCTACGTATTGAGCAAGTGTTAAAAATTTTGTCCACTTCTAGTACGGTATGATTCACCACTTCCCTTATCTACTTTTTAAGAATCAGTATAAAGAAAAACAATCCTTTAGGATAAGGTTTGCATATACGTATATATGTTTTTACTGAACATTGGGCCATTGTAGCCTTGTGTAGGCCTCTACCTGTCTGATTGACTAACTGTCTACAATGCTGCCATGGAGATGACGCTGTTGACTCTCTCCTGCTTTGTCCTAAGTGGTGTTTGAGAAATGAGGCCTGCGCATTTCCCTTTGTGATAATAACACAGTGAACTCAGCAGTATCTTGGATAAACGAGATGACTATCTTGTCCCCACCCCTGTTTTGTCTACACAGTGAATCAGAAGTCTTGTCCACGTCTGCTTCAGTGTTTACTATTTTATATTCACATCTGGGCATTTTGTTTTCTGTTAGCAACGTTCCTTGATGCCATGTGTGGCCCTTTTGGTTGAATCTCTCCAAATGCGGGGCAGCTGCTGCCACCCGGCAAATGACAGGAGATGTGCTGAATCTCCTGTCCATCCTTGTCACTACGGCCTTCTTAATGAGACTCTGCAGCTGGCTGAGTAATCATAAATGTCATCTGTGCAGACACACAGGCTTAAGGATGGCTACAAAATTTTAGACATTTTTGCAAAAGGGGAAAAAAGAGTCTTGTAAATACTGAAACAGATTTCCATGAACTTTATCCCACTCTCGGGGAAAAAAAAAATTTCCTTGGCTACAGAAATCAAATAAACTTGATTTGCAATGACCAAGGACATAAATGAAGATGGATTGAGATGGAAAAATTCTGTCTCACAAGTAATCAGTGACATCTGCCAGAGGTCATTACTGCTACTTTTAACTGTGAACACTCACCAGCTAATCTACTCACTTGCCACAACCAAATAACCTCTCTCAAAGTAAATCCAATACATCTGTATATATGTGTAGATAGAAACAACAAAAAGTCCTGAAAAATTACTGTTGGCTATTAGGTATATCAAGGTGATGATAATTATAAAGGACGTTTAAATAACCGTGGGCCTTGGTGAAATGACTGCGGAGGCCAGAATGGTGCAACAAGATGTCATTTACACGTTTGGTGGGATTTGTTTTTTAAGACCCAGATATCTCAGATACTAATCATGAGAATAAAGATTGTTGAATATGAAATTAAAGACAAGCAATAATGTGCCAAAAAGAGGCAGTTATACCAGCAAGTGCATCTATTATGGGCATACCGTGATATAATTATGGTTTGCTCCATGAAGACTGACTGTAACACACAGGATAAAATAAGCAAAGGCATAATTTCTGCTTTCTTGCTGGAAAAACTCCATAAAGAGGTACAGCCTAGTGAGCATTAGTAGGCATGTGGTTAACATCTCTGTTTTAATGCTAGACACGAGAGAAAAGGAGTCACCAAAAGTCTTGCTAGCTTAAAACTCAAGACAGTTCCAACCGGAACTGGAGGGGTCAACTCTATGGTAATTACTCTTCCTGGACGCTAGCGTGTAGACAAGCAATTCGGTTAACTCTGCCTGGAGGATTACCGGCCTTAGCTATGAAAAATGCGTTCTCAGATGGAAAAATAACTAAAACATGAGTACTCATATCAAAAGGGGCCTCAAATAAAGCCTTCCAGAAAATGATGTTCCAGACGGGCGTTTCTAAATGCTAATTCTTCATTAAGTATCTCTTTGGGTTCAAGCTCAAAATCGATTGGCTGCAAAACAGTAGGAATAAAAATCACATATTTTACACTTCAGAAAAAGATACTGATGATCAACTAGCATGGTGATAATTATGATGAGAGATACTGTAGTGATTTAAGTGTGTTAAGGAGAATTAAATGGGAGAGAAATGCTAACTTCTTTCTTGATCTCTTCAGATGTGGGGATGTCATCCACTTATTTCTGGGGTGAAAATTATAGCTTGCTTTTTGACATTGCTGCTAGCATTACTCTTTGTTACTTTAAAACTTAAATTGACTATTCCTTAGCAAAACTTTTAAGCAGTAAGACAATTTTTTTTCTGATTTGTATTATTGCTTTTAATATCACGTAAAGGTTATGTACAGTGCAAACTATTAAAGGAGCAGAAGGGGCTTACCCATCTTTATCGGTATCTCCTAATGATTTCAGTTTAGATTCCTTATCATTTATTTTAACCACATCTTTGAGTAAATTATTTTCCATAATCTTTTCCATCATGTCTCAAAATTATGTTGGTAAATTAGGAAGCGCAGTATTATAGTCATACTCCTCAATCCCTAGAGGAGAGGAGAGACTAATTCTTGTTTTAAGGGTGTCTGGAGATACGTTTTACGGAGGTTAAGAAAGGTCAACAGGGCCTGACAACTCAAGAAAGAAATATACTAACAATTACTACATTTCTAAATGTATGTATCTCTGCTGTACTAATGTGTAAACAATACATTGTGCATCATAATACTGTAGCCGGTTGTAGTACGTCAATACATTCTGTAAGTGTGTACAGGCTGTGAGTGGTTGGTTTTCTATTTTTATGTGTAGAAAAAAATAACATGCTGATCCCTTTTTAAGGGCAAGTTCTGTCATCAGGTAGGCACATGTGCGAAAGTGAATAAATAAAGCCAACAAAAGTGTGCATGTGTATTCAGTAACAGAATTTGTCCTTTCATTTTTGAAGGTCAGAAAGGGCTGTTTTATTTTTTTCTTAATCATCTCCCAGAGTAGATAACATAATTATCATAAAGGCTGAACATAGTAATCAGTACACTGGCATGTTCCTAAATATGCCGGGGCTAATTACCCACGCCATTAGTCACAGGTAAGGTCTGTTCTTTGACCACCGGGATGGTTTACATTCCTCACACATCCTCGCTGTGTTAAGTGTGTGGCCAGGATGTACATACTATGGGTGTGATTGTGTACATACCTTGTATGAATTATCTAAATCCTCAAAGCAGTGGCAGGAAAGCAGAAAGAAGAAACAGTTGTTCAAAAGCCTCAAAAGGGCTAATCAATGTGTATTTTCAGTTTCTACACATAAAAATGTATACATAACATAACTGTAAATAGCTTACCCACATATATATATATGCACACAAATGCATTTTATTCATACTGGTATATTTAAATAAATCACAAATTAAAACAACTCATTGAAAACTGCACCTTTCCATGATTGTTCTGTTTTACATATA